ACATATGGTCACTGGAAGTTGGAAGTGACTCAACAGCACCTAAAACATTCAGAAGAATTAGCAACTTCGTAAGAAGTGATTTGGAATGCTGTCCAGTAAGTATTGTTAAGGTAAAAAACTAGATGCAGTACAAAAGCATGTAAATGTACTATTTTGGGATTATTTTGTTTTGCTTTTAAGAATGTGTATGGTGGTGGTGGTTATGTCCTATGGAATTGGTTCAGACTAATAGCAACCCTGGTTGTAAATCTTTATGGAAACAGAAAGTCTCATCTTTCCCCTGTGGAGTGGCTGGTAGATTTGAATAAAATATATTAACATGTTCATAGAATCTCTTAGGAAGTATATACAATAAACTGATGAGGATGGAAGCTAAGGAGTGCCTACCACATTGTTGTCTGAGTATCAAAGTAGACATTTTTCTTCAACTCTTTCCTGTTTTATTCCTATCACTCTTTTTGTCTGCTTCATAGAAGTTCCTGCCAATCCTACCTCTTCTTTTCCAGATACACCCACTTTTCTTTTTGTCCACTCTGTGGTCATATCCTCCATTAGACCATTAAAATAGCCAAAGGGCTATTTTCACACTTAGACCTTTCCAATCCATTTATACCAGTATGACCTTTTAGAAACAAGACCTCTCACCCCATGTGTTTTCATTGCAATGGTTTTACAAAGGTATGTAAGACCTCATATAACCTGAGTATTCCTACAAATCTGAGAACAGCCTTGTCTTTTCAAAACTGATCTCTTTTCTGTTCCACAAACATGTCCTTCCTGCCCTTAGACTCTGAATTGTTCATCCTCTGTCCCTGGAATGTTCTCCTAATTTTTCTATGGCTGCCTCATTTCCATTCTTCAAGTATCAGCATCTATCTAAAATGGTATCTTCTCCAAGTTTCTCTGCCCTCTTGTTGATTGTTGCTGAGTCGGCTCCAATTCAGGGCAACCTCATGTATAACCAAACAAAATGCTGCCCCATCCTGTGTCATCTTCATGATTGTTGATAGTGTCAAGTTTATTGCTGCCCTCTGTTTTAGTTTAGTGGATGGCTTTAACAAACATAAATGTGTTTTCTCACAGTTTGTTGTTGTTGTTGTTAAGTGCCGTCGAGTCAGTTCCGACCCATAGCGACCCTGTACAGGGTTTCCGAGGGTGTAAATCTTTACGAGAGTAGAAAGCCTGATCTTTCTCCCTCGGAGAAGCTGGTAGTTTCGAACTGCTGACCTTAAGGTTCGCAGCCCGATTCGTAACCACTAAGCTACCAGAGCTCTTCTCACAGTTTAGAAGGCTCCATATAAGTTCAAATTCAGCTTGAGAGGAAGACTTTCTCTGTTGGTTCTAGGGGAATTTCTTTGACTCCTTTAAACATCTGTGGGCTCGGTATTCCTTGGGGATTTCCATGTGTTTTGGCTTTTATCTTCCCTTAGGTTTAAGAGGTTCCAGGTAAAGAGATCCTGGGTCGAAAAGACATATTTCACTCCCAGCTCTTCTTTTTTATGTATTTTTTAACTTTTTATTATGAATCAAGTGAAGATTTGGAGACTAGATCACCAGATTTACATTCTTCAAATCATAGACTTTGTTTCAGGGGATTACAATCCCCTCAATGTATCATCTCTTATCCCACTTCCTCGCTGTGAGTCTTGTTTTCATTCCTTCTTCTTTCCCAAACCTTCCCATTGCCCTTGGGTAAATGCTGCCCTTTTGATCTTGAATGGTGACTGTTCCACGGTGCTTGCCCCTCACTAGTGTTCTTCTTCCCCCTGTATACCTATTCAGTTCCAGACCTGAAGAGTGACCACGGGCCATTGTATCAGGGTTCCAAGGGTCTCTATCTGACCAATAACCCTGATCTTTTTTTGATTTTGGGTTTTGTTCTACATTTTCTCCATTCTATCCAGAAACTTCTAGTGTGATCCCTTTTAGAGCAGTTGATCATGGTAGCTGGACACCATCCAGTTCTTCAGGTCTCAGGGTCATGAAGACTGATGCCCACATGGTCCATTAGTCCATTAAACTAATTGTTTCCTGGTGTCTTTAATTTTCATCACTTTTCTTTCCTCTGGACAGAGACCAATATTTGTACTTTAGATGGCCAATCATGAGATTTGTTTTTGTTTTTGTTCTTGAAACTTTTTTACTATGAATTGAGTGAAGAGATCATCAGTTTTATACTTAACAAATCATACCCTTTGTTTCATCCCAATGATTGTAATCCCTTCCATGTCAGTCATGAACTTTTGGGATCCCAGTCACTACTCACAAAGTAACCTGTAGAAAATTAACTCTGACATATGGTATGCCAATTGAGCATGGTATCCCCTATCCAACTCTTCTCTCTTGGTAGTACTGTACTCCTTCCATCTCTATTCACTTGTTTAATCTTTTATATTGACAAAGAAATTGACTCAACAGCCAACCTAATCCTGTATATTATTTCCTGACTCATTAACATAACTGCTTCTAATCCTATCTCATTAACATCCTTGTTGATGTTGTCAAGTATCTTCAAGTCAGTTCCTAGTGACACTGTATAGAGTTTCAAAGGAGTCTCTGGTGGGTTTGAACTGCCTGCACTTTGATTAGCAGCCCAGTGCTCATCCTACAAAGCCATACCAGGACTCCATTAACATCATAGAGGTTTGGATATATAGCAGTAAGGTGATTAGATTAGACCACAAAACAAAGGATAATTATTTAATACTGAGAATCATGGACTAATCAACTTGACACTTATTTGGGGGAACACTATTCAATCCATGACACGCACCAACTGAAGCTACTCATCTTCCAGATCTGTATTGGATAATACTGTGTTGTTATCCATAAGGTTTTCATTGGCTTTCTTTCTAACTAGACTGTTTTAATCTGGAAACTCTGCTGAAACCTATGTACCATGGATGATTCTGCTGGCATATGAAATACCGATGATATAGCTTCCAGCATCATAGTAACATGTCATCACCATATGACAAACTGACCGATGGGTAGTGACCCTCCTTATTATCAACCTGATTTTTCTCTTTCCGCATATATCATGACTTTCAATTACTCATTGATTGGTAGCTTTATTTTTTAATAAATCATTGAAAATCATGATACATGGTAAAACTTGATTGGTATATAGAGTCCTGGTGTGGTGATGTAGGATAAGCACTGGACTGCTAACTGCCAGGTCAGTGGTACAAACCCACTAGCTGCTCCTTAGAAACCCTACAGGTTCTATATGAGTCTGAACTGACCTGGTGTCACTTAACAACATTGGTTGGTATGTATCCATCTTTCCACATTGGATTTTAAGCTCCATTAGAGTAAGGTTCTCGATTATCTTGCCCACTATCTATTGTCCATGCCTCCCACAGGACCTGAACATAGTAAGTGCTAAATTAATAATTACTGAATCGATGAATGTCAAGATGAATGAATGAATTGTAAATGAGTCCACCTTTGACTCTTTGGCTCCCAGGAGGATGTAAGTGTCAGCTCCTCTGAAGAAAAGTTGAAGAAGGAGAGACCCAGGAGAGCCAGCTTCCTGCTGCAGGCTTCATTACAGGAACCAAGACTCTTATATGTTCTAATTTAGGAACAGGTTGTCCTGACTGGCCCCATATTCTAGTGGTTGATGCTCATATTGAAACAAAACCCTTGGTAAATCTTTGCTTTCTGGTTGGACACTGGCTGTGACTCATTTCATTTCATCTAGAAGTTGCATAAGTAGATTTGAGGGCTTGTTTTCCAGGTTTCACCACTAAGATTTCATAATTGCTCAAAGGTAAACAGGGGAGGTTAGATCCAATCCCAGGTTCTACTTATTAGGTGGCTGCTCCTTGGTGAAATCAAAACTTTTAAAAAAAAATCTCTATAGTCATAAAATGTACCTCACCCAATTGTAAAGGTGTATTGTTTAACACATGGCAAGTGTTTATGTCTATCATAAAGTAGGTAGTGAAAAAAAAAAAATCTTCTTTTGTATAACTGAAAGAAATTAGCACGTCCTTTCCTGGAGACGATGTTGCTCTTACTCATGGTCCTTCCCAGTCCATTCTCTAGATTTCTATAATTCACTTAGTCATGCATGTATTCCTTCAGGCATTTACTTAGCCAGCACCCATTCAGGATTTTGGATGCACTCTTTGGCCAAGACAATCAGTGTCAGGAAGACAGTTCTGAGTCAGAGATGACATGAGGGAGTGAGGGAAGCAGGACTTGGACGTTTGGGAAGTGAAATCACAGTTCAGTTACAACAAAAGGCTCAGCTAATTTCACAGGGAGCTTTAAAACTAGATAAGCCCCCAGAGTTGACTTGAGTTGAAGCAAGAGGGCAGACTTTCATATTTGAAATGTTTTGAACATATATTGAGAAGGGGATGTGACCTTGGACCAGGTGCTTTCTACAGTGGGGGCAATTCTGGAAAATTGCATACATTTCCAGCAACTGGGGGAATGCGTGTGTCAGTCCTCAAGGTAGGATCTAGGCAGATTGCTGTATATCTTCACACACGCCTCAGAATAGCTTTGATGTGTAGAAACAATTATTCATGTATTAAACTTATGATTCTAGGCAGGTCTGGGTACTAATCTCAGTCCAGCCACTTACCAGCTGGTTCCTGAATAAGCCCATCTACCTCTGAAACTAAGAGGTCCTGTGTACCTTGGCAACTTTCCTCACTATTGATTGCAAAATAGTTTGCATGGTTTGGATGGTCTTAAAGAGGGAGAAAGAAAAGCACTATACCTAATGCAATAGAAATAATTCTACCTCACACTTCTTGATTGGGTGTCATGGATTGGGTAGATTAGATAATTACACAAGCTGCTGTGTGTCATGTTGGCTAATGTACAAGCTACAAAGAGTTGTGGTGCTTTTGAAAAACCACATGGTTACTCTTATAATCCTTACTAGAACATCCGAATGGCAAATAAGTCCTAGACTCTATCCTCCAGTGTGGGCACAGATCATGGATGTATGGCTTAACTCTGACATTCTCTCCTCCTAGGTGTCACTGAAGTACTCCCTCGTGATTGTGCAAGGACATCTGGTCTCAGAAGGGGTCCTTCTGTTTGGACAGCAGCACTTCTACATCTGTGAGAACTTCACACTGTCTCCCATGGGTGACGTCTACTGTACTCGCCACTGCTTATCCAAGTGAGTCCTCCTTTTCACCCAGCAGATTCTTCCTTGAGTCCTACACTTCCAGCTCACTGCTGCAGTGCTTATCTCTTCTGCCCTGTTTTTAACAACAGACTTAGGTTTGGTCTTGAAATGGGTCATGAGATAAAGTAGAAGAACCTTAAGATATAAGCATCTCTGACCATGGTCCCCAAAGCTGAAGTCTGGAATGGCTGACAACTTGGCAGCTACTTGGGCCTCTCCTACCATGAAATACATCACAGGACACTGAGGGTCTTTCCTTACTTAAGTCACCTAGGTAACTGAATCCAGTTGCTTCTACTTGCTTATTCGACAGTGGTTTGATAGATCATTTTATGTAAGACAACAAAAACTATCCCTCCACTCCAGAGCACACCATTCCAGTTGACAGTATAAACAAGGTCTTTCTAAGATGGGACATGATGTATATTGTGGGAGCATTCAAGGTTCATTTGGAGAGGTTGACTGTGGCTGGTATGGTAAGGAGGAGTACTTGAGGAGGAGGCTAAGATCTGGGTCTTGAAGGATGGGTTAGATTTTGGTAGAAATTTGGAATCATTTTCATTTTCACACCCACCACTGCTGGTGGTCATTGGCAAGAAATGCCAAGATTCTTCTTTCAAACCAAGGGTATTTGAAATCATGTAGATTGTGGAGTGTTTTGTTTTTTTAACTTTTTATTGTGAATTGGGTGAAGATTTACAGAGCAAATCAGTTTTCCATTCAGTAGTGTTTCATGTCATTGATTACAATCCCGACAATACAACATCATGTATTCCACTTCTTCCTTGTTTTTCCTGTTTCGTTCCTCTTTCTTTCCTAACCCTTCTGAACTTTGTCTTTGGGTAAATATTGCCCTTTTGATCTCAAATGGGTGATTATTCTAAGGTGTGTGTACTTACCAGTGTTATTTTTCCCCTTATAGATATGTCTGCTATTTGTCTGAAAGTTTGGGAGTCAGTTCATTTCTAGGCCTGAAGGGCCATAGTCTCAGTGGTTCCGTCAGTGTCTGTCTAACCAGTAAACCTGGTCTTTTTTATGAGTTTGAGTTTTGTTTCACATCCTTCACTCCCCAATTCAGGACCTTCTAATGTGAAGGTAAATTGTGTTTTTAAGGCATATCCATTTAAAATCAAATTTACTGTATTTTCACTTTTGCACGAAGTTCAGTTGCCAGGTTGTGTATTCTCACTTACCACGGCATTCTTTATCCAGATGTGTACCTTGTGTTTATGATTAGCCAAGTTTTTAATGATGAAAGGATAGCCTCCTATCCCTGTGGCGTTCACACCAGTGTCTGTCAGAATCCCATGGAGGGCTTGTTAAAATGCAGAGTACTGTACTATACCACACCATTATTTCTAATTCAATTGGTTAGGGTGAGACCCAGGATTTTAGCAAGTACCCAGCTGATGCTGAAGCTGGTCTGATCATATATTGAGAACTACTAGTTTAGACATTGAGAGAGGAACAAGTCTTTCCTGCTAATAAGTAAGAATTTGCAAATCCCAGTTGGCATATCATTTCAAGTAGCAAGAGTTGAAGGATTGTGGGAAAGTGGCTAGCTATCAGCCCACCCTCCTTTAGTTTAGATTTATTTGCTTTAGATTGGGCCTTTCCCTTTCTGCTAGTTTCCAACTTTTGCTGTGCATCTTCTGTGCTTTTCCAAGGTAGGAGGGGCATAATTAATACTTGGCACACTCACCCCATCTTATTGCTCATGTTTTATTGATACTGATCAATATAGACAATGGGTCTGCAGACTTGCCTTTCTGAGGATGAAAGCTTTCATGTGCATGGCATGCCACGTGATGACTTGCATAATCCATTGCTTCATTCTTCCCCTATGGTCTATATTGAGTTAGTGTTAGATAGCATCTTATTGATTAGGTGCATTGTGTTTGTGAAGTGTGTCTAATCATGATCAAAGTGACTATATCTGTACTTTTATTCAAGGCCAGTTGTCACATTCCCTGTGCCTACTCCCTATGTACTCCCATAATTCATATACCAAAGGGAACGTCTTATGTCTGGAAATGCAGTTTTCTAGAATGCAAGTATAGGGGCAGAATAAGAGCAAGCTGCTACCCTAGAATATCCCTTGGGAATTGCACAGGTAATCTTAGTCACCATACCTCAAAGAAAGATGTGTTAACCAGACAGTGCTTTCTCTCCTGGGTCTTTTCTCTTACCCTAAGAAATTGCTGGCTCTCATGGAGATGTGGTTCTCAGAGAGAGAGGCTATTAAATCATATCAGATCAATGGGGAATAAGTCTTATTTTGACCATGGATACTAAGGCAGATACATAAATAAACCTGTTAAAAATAAAGCTAAGTCAACCCTGAAATGTTTCTCCAAAAGACTGCCATCAAATTGAGTACAGCTGAGCATCTCTCTGATGTATCATAAAAATGAAACTCAAAAAAAAAAGAAAAAAGAAAAAGAAAAAGAAAATACTTCATCAGTGATTGCTCAGAAACCAAGAAGCTTCCAAGTAGGTTAGATTTTGCTTGTAGTGGCATCTCTTCTTGGCTGACTAAGGGGCTGCTTGTGACATTCAAACTCACATTTGATTCCTTTGTTAGGACTCAAACGCTTTGCCAGAAAACTTTCTATCAGATTATTTCCTCCAAATCAGTCAGCATCATTTCTCTGTTTAATTCTGCTCAATAAATATTTATTGAAAGTTTGCCTTGTGCCAGGCACTGTGCTAAACTCCTACATAAAAAGATATTAATTATTAGATGTGAGTTGAGTCTGATAAAGAGTTTGTGATCACACAAATGATTCTAGCCATCAATTCTGAGAATAATTGGACACATTCAAATATGAAGCATATGAAAATATATTTTATTCTGAAATCTACTTCTGCCATCAAAGATCATACCAGCCAATTATCATTTAACATGTTGCGATTTCCCATTTAATGTATTTTGGCCCTTTTTCAAAGATCACTTGGCTGTATGTGGATGGATTAACTTCTGGGTTCTGAATTCTGTTCCATTGATCTATGTATCTTTCATTGTACCAGTAACAGCCTGTTGTGACCATTGTAGCCATGTAGTAAATTTTGAAATTAGGGAGTGAGAGGCCTCCAACTTTATTCTTCTTCTTAAGCAGTGCTTTGCTTATCCGAGGACTCATTCTCTTCCATATAAAGTTTGTAATCATTTTTTCATCTCTTTAAAGAATGTTGGAATCTGGATTGGGATTGCATTATATCTGTAGATTGCCTTGGGTAATATTGATATTTTCACAAAGTTAAGTCTCCCTATCCAGGAATATGGTATATTCTTCCATTTTTGTAAACTTGTTTTGTACTTTTCTTTGTATAGATATTTTATTTCTCTGGTTAGATTTATTCCTAAATGTTTCTTCCTTTGGGTGACAATTGTAAATGTTACCGTTTTCCTAATTTCCTTTTCAGAGTTGTCATTATTAGTATAGAGGAATCCAACTGATTATTTTGTACATTGATCTTGTACCTGCTACTTTGCTGAAGCTTCCACTGGATTCCAGTAACTATTTAGCTGAATCTTTGGGTTTTCTATGCATGGGATCATATCATCTGCAAATAGGGTTTTACTTCTTCTTTGCCAATTTGGATGCCTTTAATTTCCCTATCTTGCCTTAAAGCTCTGGCTAAGACTTCCGACACAATATTGACTAGATAAAGAGCATCATTGTCTTGGTAAAAACTTAGTTAACTTTACAGAAAGTGCTAAACAGAGTCCTTTGGACTGAGAGCCAACAACAGCAGAAAACACTGGAGAATGATGATACACATGGAAAACCACCCAGAATTCAATCCAGATACAAGAGTATTTAGAGTAAAACAAAACTACAAGACTGAAAATAGGGCATCAGAGATAATCAATCTATAATGAAGACAATTGCAAATCAAAAACAGGGGAAAGTTTAGTTACAGAACTTCTATATGGAAAGGAAGTAAAGTTGATTTCAGAATAAAACAGACTGCTTTAAACTGGGGAATAAATTAATAAATTACAAGGCAACTTCAAAGAAACTTAATACATCTTCACATCAAATCAAGAAAAGGAAATCCATGAAGATTTTGTAAACATTAAAACGATGAAGAAATTGGCAAGAAGAAGCACAAAAACAATGAACTCAGCATAGGAAAACGTAAGGAACAAAGAAAGAGCAACAAAACATACAGCACAAAAAAACATACAGCAAAATGACTGCATTCAATATATACCTATCAATAATTATGCTAAATGTCAATGGATTAAATGCACCAGTCAAGAGACAGAGAGTAGCAGAAAGAATAAGGAAAATAGGATCCTTCAATATGCTGTCTATAAGAGACACACCTTACACATAAAGACAAAAATAGATTTAAAAAAAAACTTGGTTGTTGAAAAATTTTTTCAGGTTATGGCAATTCATACTGAGCAAGAATGACAGTATTAGTTTCTGGTAAAGTCGATTTTAATGCAAAAAACAACATAAGAGACAAAGAAGGACATTATCTCATGATTTAAGGATCAATTTACCAGGAGTACATAACCATAATAAATATATATGATCTCAAAAAGAAGAGCCTCAAAATACATACATTAAACTCTAATAGAATTGTGTGTATAGATATCAAAGTTTGTTTATCCATTAATTATACACACAATGGAATAACATGCAACACTGAAGAATAGTGATAAATCTGAAACACCTCATAACTTGGATGAGCCTGGAGGACATTATGCTGAGTGAAATTATTCAATCACAACAAGAACCTGAGAACCACCCTTCAGGTTTGGAAAGGAACTCACCCTCAAGACCCAATTTTCAGTCAAGCAGTAGATAGGTTTATATTGGGGAAAAACAGCACTAGCAAGGTATAATGACTATGGAATGGTCAATAATTCAAAATCTAAGGACAAAATTGAGAAGAGAGAGAGAGGTGTATGGAGTGCACATTAGGAATCACAGGGAGGAAGGAGGAGATCTGTTGTTGCATGGAGGAGATTG